CAGTAGACTCCCGTGTCAACTGTCTCCCTTTTCAGGCGAGTGTGTTGAAGTCTGTCACTGTATTAAGCTTTGGCCGTCTTGGCCCAGCCTCTGCTTCATACAGAGAGCCAGGGCATAGTGGGGTTATCTCTGGATCCTGAACCCTGTCTGTGCAGTCCCCTGGTCCCTGCTCAGTCTGAGCCCAGAGCCCAAAGTAAAGCTTCCGGCCTGGCTTCTCCAGGAGCATTGTGCCTCTCCTCTCCACCGGAAGCAAATGGCCATCAGCTGTGTCCGCCCAGACTGCCTGTGGCTGAGCAGCAGATCAGACTCTCTGTCCTGGAAGTCCTTTGAGAGGCCTGATGGGAGGCCTGGCCTCTGACAGCTGTGCCATCAGTTAGAATGGAAGGCCTCATGTGTTGGTCAAGGCCAGGGAGAGAAGAAGGGCTGGGTCTGGCCAGTTTCCAGCTTCATTTCCAGCCGTGATGACCCTTAAGGAAACATCCCTTCCCTGGTTGGCTTGTGTTCCCCAAATAGAGACATGTGTTCTCACTGGAGTTGCGTTCAGCAGCCCAGCTGCATCCAGACAGCTTTGGGCTGACAGCCACACACAAACCTCCTGGTTTGGAGATAGGCCAGGTCCCTGCAGGGGAGGGTGAAGAACTTTCCTACCAGTGGATGTCCAGTATGCAAGGACCAGGCTGCTGCTGGCCCCTGGCTCTCCCGATAGAGTTCGCGGCTTTGCTTGCCATCCAAAAAGCTGTGTGGATTTCCCAGACTGGTCAGTTCATAGGAAGGTCGGTCTCTCTGACCCCAAGATGCCAGATCTTCAAAGTGCTCCCTCTGGCCTCTCTTCCCATCTGCCTTCCCCATTCACCTCCAAGGAGCATCGCACTGAACCCCTCCTGAAAGTCTCCGAGTGCCATCTGTGCTCAAAGAATCCGCAGGGAGATATCCTCAACTTGCCATTTTGATGCTACTGTTTTGAACAGGTCACTAGGAAAATCGCTACGTATGAAACAGTGGCAGAAACTACGCCAGATCAATGCTGCTAGCGTGAAAATCTGATTGAGGAGTCAAATCTTTTTTTCCCCCTCTTTTCTTTTTTAAGATTATTTGGCAGAGAGAGTGCGAGTGCACAAGCAGGGGGAAAAGCAGGCTTCCTCGCTGAGCAAGGAGCCTGTTGTGGGATTTAATCCCAGGACCCTGAGATCATGACCTGAGCTGAAGGCAGACACTTAACCCACTGAGCCACCCACGTGTCCCTAAGGCATCAAATCTTTCTTGTAAAATTCACACAAGAAAAAGACTTGAGCTTGGGGAAACTGATTTTGGCCAAACAAAATTGAAAGTAAAAAAGTCGGAATGGGTTAATGGTGAAATATGAAATCAAGGAATTAAATTGGCTTCACGGAGCTCACTAAGGAAAGTACCTTTGGCAGAAACTTGTCAATATTAGTTTAATGGTCTGTGTAGAAGCTCAAAGCCAGGAAAATCTGAAACCTTGTAGAGTTTGGAGTAGCTCTAAGAGAGGGGGGTGAGCACTCCGTCCTCCACCTGCCCAGGCTAGCAGCGCCCCAATCTCTGCTCACAGGGCTGCGTCCTCTCTCAGGACTGTGCTGTTCCATTTAGGAACTGTTCTCCTTTATCAGCAGGTGAGGGCTGTCCTTGCCTGGGAAGGAGAGACGCCTGGAGGAGTTGGTCCCTGGGGCTGGCTTTACCCCTGGATGCCTGAAGACAATCCCCCCCCCCCCCCCCCCCCCCCCCCCCAGTGAATAAAGAGATGGAGGCTGCAGTGGGGATAAAGCAGGCGGGAGTTTGATGATGGGCTCTGAGCTATGGATGGGATAGATGAGGAGCCAGCATTTAGGTTGGCTTACGCAAGCTCTAGGACTAGGTCCAAAGCTCGTCCTCTCTCCTCGACCCGCTGTCTCCCAAATGCCCTGAGCATTGGGCTTTCTTTCAGAGACAAGAGGATCTGGGATCTGACTGAGGTGGGAGTGGGGAGGTCCTTAGGTACAGTCCACCAGGGCATTGGTGGGTGTGGCATCAAGTCAAGGTGGCCGCATCAGTGAAGAAGGCAGGAATGGTGACGAACGATTCACTCATTCCGTGCATGCTTATTGAGTGTTATTGTGCACCAGAAATCCTGGGCACTGGGTGGGGATACTGTGAACAAGGAGGACAAGGTCCCTGTCCTTGTGATCCATACATTCCAGTGGGAAAAGATTGATGATAAGCAAACCAATGAGTGCAGTAATGTCGGATGGTGGCAGCCACGTAAAGATTAGATTTTAGGGAGAAAACCGGAAGCAAGAAGTATAATTGGGAAGTATGACATTCTCCGAGAGAGAGGACAGTACCTTAGTCGAGGATGTTAGCCCTGGAGCTGCAGCGAAGTGGGTGGGTTTGGAATATATTTAAGTACTGAAGCTAACCAATTGGGCGTGAGGGGGCAAGGAAAAGAGGAATTCGGGGTGTGGACTTGAGCAACTGGGTAGATAATGGTGCTGTCCTCCGAGGCTGAGAAAAGGGAAACAGGTGTTGGAGGCGGGGGCACGTGTGAATGGAAAGTTCTGTTTTGACTGTGTTGCATTTGAGATGCCCATGAGGCACCCAGGTGGGGTCCAGATCGGTGGAGACATCAAGTAGGGGCTATGATTTGGGACTCACCGGTATACAAATGGGATTCAGAGGGGCACCTGGGTGGCTCAGTGGATTAAGCCGCTGCCTTCAGCTCAGGTCATGATCCCAGGGTCCTGGGATCGAGCCCCGCATCGGGCTCTCTGCTCCGTGGGGAGCCTGCTTCCTCCTCTCTCTCTGCCTGCCTCTCGCCGACTTGTGATCTCTGTCTGTGAAATAAATAAATAAAATAAATCTTTAAAAAAAAACACAAAAAAACAAATGGGATTCAGGTCCCTTAGACTCTAGATCTTAGGACGGTGGTTCTCCAGTGGTGGGTGGAGACAGTGGGTGCCCCCTCCTGCCAGGGGACATCTGGTGACATCTGGAAACATCTTTGGTGGTTACACCTGGGTTGGGGGAAATTGGTTACTGGTTGGAGGTCAGGGGTGCTGCTAGGAATCCTGCTGTACCCCCCACAGCACAGAATTACCTGGCCCCAAATGCCAGTGGTGCTGAGGTGGAGAGCCCTGTCCTAGAGCGAGTGTAGACGGAGAAGGAGAGAGAGGACAGCCCCAGGACCTGCCTAATGTGAGGAGGTAGAGCTTGCCTCACGGAGCACTGAGTGGAGTGTCCTGGAGGTGGAGAGTGTTGGAAAGGAGGGGAGCTCAACTGGGCATAATGTGGATGGACTCCATCCTTCAAGCCCAGAGAGAAGCAACAAATGGCTTAGGCAAGACAGACATGTTGATGACCTTGACAAGAGTGGTTCCTGTGGCCTGATGGGTTAGAAGCTCTGGCGGAGAAGGCTGCATTTCTTCCCTGATCAGAATGTCTCGTGTGTGCTTTCATTAATCCACACCCATCAGGGAGGTTCTATTATCGTGGCCTTACAGAACAGGCAATATTACTATTCCGCCCATTTTACAGAGGTAGAAACCGAGGCACAGAGAGGCTAATTACTCCCCACAGTCAGGCAGCCCACAGTAAGTGGCGCCGCTAGGAGGGTTTGGAGGGGAGGCATTGAAGGCAGTGAGCAGTGTCTCTGTACAGGAGAACGGAGACGGGTACAGAGGAGGTTTGCCCGCTGATAGGAATGATCCATGTGGAGGCTGAAATGGACCATGTTGGAGGCGAGGCTGAGAACCGAAGTCTGAGTCCCTGAGAAGGATCCCGGAGCCCATGCTGAGGGGTTGACCTTTCCCAGGAGCATGATACCAGTAACCCTAACTGTTTTGAGCAAGATTAACCCTCGACTCACCTTCTCTCCCACATGCCCGCCCCCCACCACAGCCCCACTAGGCAGCTCTCTGTAGCTCCCCACTGTGCTAACAGGTAGCCTCCTTGTAGGAAGTGGCTGCGTGGCCCCAGCCCTTCCAACTCCATGTCTTGGGGTACCAGAGGCCGGATGTACTCAGGAACCAGGATTGCAAGTAAGGGCAGCCCTGCGGTCAGGAGCTAGAGCCCGGGCTGGCTGGGCAGTTCTATCAATACAAACAGTGGTATTTCCACCCAAACTTGACTGCCACCATCCTTATCCTAAGCCTACAAGGCCGTGCCCCAGGGTCTTTGCTCATCACTCTCTCCCTGTGGTCGTCACCGCACCAGCCTCCTGTAGACTCTCCCAAGTACTGAGTGTTCTCACTTTCTTCACCGTCTCTCCCTTCTCTACCCGGCTGAGTCTTGGCATGGTCTCCTGATGCAGGAGGCTCAGCTAGACAGGGCTGTCTGGGAGGTGACTGCTAACAGCCTCAACTAGATGATGCCCTCCTGGTAGCGCATCCGGCAATGGCTGCTTCTTCAGTAGCCCTGTTCCCACGTATAATGTGGTTTTTTGGTGCGGCGTCTGTATTCCATGCTGGGCTGTAAACGTCACGAGGCTGGGTCTAGTTGACCAGTTATTTCCGGGACCTGGCACACAGTAGGTGCTCAGTCACTATTTGCTGAAAGAGGAAATGAATCGCTGACTGTGTTATAGCCCATTTGGTATTTCTCTGGCTGGCGTCTACATGTTGCATTCAACACGTTATTCCGCTCAGCACACCTTTTACTACAGATTTTTGAAGCTTGCCTGATCCCCCGCGTGATTACGTCCATCTTTGTCTGAAGGCGTGTAAAGGAGTTTAATCTAGTATCTTTGGCCATTCATTTCAAATAGAAAGCTAGGGGCTCCTGGGTGGCTCAGTGGGTTAAGCCTCTGCCTTCGGCTCAGGTCGTGATCTCGGGGTCCTGGGATCGAGCCCCACATCGGGCTCCCTGCTCAGTGGGGAGCCTGCTTCCCCCCACCCCTCTGCCTGCCTCTCTGCCTACTTGTGATCTCTCTCTCTCTGTAAAATAAATAAAATATTAAAAAAAAATAGAAAGCGTTACTAAAGTTGTATGTTATTGGTTCTTCCCAATAGGATGGCTGGTCTGGTGTTGTGTGAACCAACAGAGCTTTACAACATCCTGAATCAGGTCACAAAACTATCCCGACTGACTGAACCCAACTATCTCTGCTTATTGGGTAAGTGCCTTAAACACACACACACACACACACACACACACACACACACACACAAACTATGTTGTGTTCAGTGCCCTTCAAATACTATTTTAGGTAAAGCAACAAACTTAAGAGACTCGGGGAATAAATGATTTTAGAAAACTCTTGGGCTTCTTGGAGATAGCTTAAAATGCTACCACTAATTGTCACTTGACTTGGAATGAACTCAGATGAAATGTAGAAGTTCTTGGAAGACATGTGTTCTTACTGAGTGAAACATTTCAAACATCTAACACCTACATAGTAAGGCAAATAAATGCCCATGTACCCATTGCTCAGATGTAACATAATAAACGTTACGCATAGATATGTACCCCTCTTTTGTGCCCCCATCCCAATCCCATTGCTTCTCCTCCCCCAAAGATGACCTCTTCTGTATTTATTACATTTTTTTCTATATATGCAGGCATCCCAAAATGTGAGGCTTAAACATTTACACACATTGTACCATCATGTACAATTTCTCTGCAATTTGCTATTTCTTGAAGTTTTTGAGGTTCCCCCCAAATCTACATGGGAAGATCTGTTTTAACTGTGAGTTGGGGCAGTAGCCATTCCTAATCAGTTGTGGCGTGCTGCTGGCATTTGTGTTTCTGTTCAGAACAGTGCGGCACTGCCCGGGAGAACCTTGACCTCTTATTTACATGCAGGAGTTTCTTCCGGATACCTCCCTAGAAATGGAATTGCAAGTTGCAAATTCCGCTTCGTTCCGTTGTCCAGTTGCCTTCCCAAAAGATTGTATCCGTCTGCATTCCCGTCATCCATGTAGGAGACATACCTACCCCTATCTGGTTTTGTCAGCCTTTAGAATTTTTGCAGTCTGATTGGTGTGAACTTGTGTTGTAATGTTTGCTCCCCCCAATTAAAAAAATTGTGATAAAATACACATAAAACGTACCAACTTTTTAAAAAAATGTTTTTATTTATTTATTTGAAAGAGATCACAAGCAGGCAGAGAGGCAGGCAGAGAGAGCGGGGGAAGCAGGTTCCCTGCTGAGCAGAGAGCCCGATGCGGGGCTTGATCCCAGGACCCTGAGATCATGGCCTGAGCTGAAGGCAGAAGCCCAACCCACTGAGCCACCCAGGTGCCCCAAATGTACCAACTTTTAAATGTACAATTCAGAGGTGTTAAACATGTCCATGTTTTACCACCTTATGGGCACCACTTTCCCTCTCTGTAACTCTTCTCTTGTAAACTCGGAAATGAGCTCTGTACCCATTAAATACTAACTGTCCTTCCTCCATCCCTTAATCCCCTGGAGATTCCCACTCTCCCTTCTGTCTCTATGATTTTGATGGCTGTAGGGCATGTAGGTGGTATCATACAGTATTTGTCTTTTGGCTTATTTCGCTTAACATCATGATGTCCTTGAGGTTCGTCCTATTGTAGCATTTTGCTGTCTTCCTCTTTAAGGCTGAGTAATATTCCATTGTATGGATATACCACATTTTTCCTGTCCGTTTATTTATCAGCAAACAATGGGGTTGTTTCCACATCTTAGCTGTTGTGGATGATAATGCTACGATCGTGGGTGTACAAATACTTCTGAGACCTTGGCTTTTAGTTATTTATTTTGGGTACATAAACCAGAAACGGAATCACGGGGTCCTATGGTAATTCTGTTTATAAAGTCTGAGGAGCTGCCCTACTGTTTTTCCATAGTTACGTGGGCCTAAGGATTCACACATTTCCCATTTTTCCACGTCATTGTCAACGCTTGTTGTTTTCTGGTTTGGGGGCGACAGTAATTATTCTAATAGGAGGGAGGTAGTATCTCATTATAATTTTGATTTTCATTTCCCTGATGATTAGTAATGTTGAGCATCTTTTCATGAACTTCTTGACCATTTGTGTATTTTTGGAGAAATATCCCAAGTCCCTTGCCCACTTTTGAATCAGGTTTTGGTTTTGTTTATCTCTAGAGTTTTAGGAGTTACCTACATGTTCTGGGTATTAATCCCTTATTGAGATTTAATTGTCTTGAAGTTCAGTTTGTCTCTTTTTTCTTCTGTTGTCCATGCCTTTGTCCTATCCAGGAAATCATTGCCAAGCCCAGTGTCATGAAGATTTTGCCCTATGTTTTTTTGAAGTTTATACTTTTAGGTCTTACATTTAGGTCTTTGATCCATGTTGAGTTGATTCGTGTATGTGGGGTTAGATAAAGGTCCAACTTCATTCATTTGCATGTGGGTATCCAGAGGGAGAGGGAGAGAGAATCTCAAGCAGGCTCTATGCCCAGTGTGGAGCCCCATGCGGGGCTTGATCTCACGGCCTGAGCTGAAACAGGAGTCGGATGCTCATCGACAGAGCCACCCAGGTGCCCCTCACTGACTTAATTTTTAATAAGTACAAATACATAGCTTTAGTTTCAGAACCTAATGTAGGCCTGATAATCAAAACCTTTTTGGAAGACAGGTTTTAGGTCCCACTCAATCTCCAGTAAGATATTTTCACACACTGCAGTACTTTTATACCATTAAAAGAGAGAGAGAGAGAGAGAGAGAGAGAGAGAGTGTGTGTGTGTGTGTGTGTGTGTGTGCGCGCGCGCGCGCGCGTGTGTGTGTGTATCTGCCCCCATAGCAACACCAGAATAGTAACAATTCACTTGAGGTCTCACCTGTAGAAAGAGGCTGTCATGGGACAGTTTGTTAAAATTCCACTCTCAGATTTTTTAAAAGAGATTTTATTTATTTATTTGGCAAAGAGAGGGGAGAGTGAGAGAGCCCACACGTGCACAAGCAAGGCAAGTAGCAGTCTCCCCGCTGAGCAGGGACCCCGACGTGGGGCTCGATCCCAGGACCCTGGGATCATGACCCGAGCTGAAGGCAGCTGCTTCACCGACGGAGCCACCCGGGCACCCCAGTCAGATTTTTTCATCAGTGTTTTTCCAGATCTTTCATATTGTGCTGCCAAAATCTGAAACCTGCCTCAAAGAGATCATCCAGTAAAAGAAACGAATGATTATTTTGGAATAGAACCCAGGAGATCAGAGTGGTTCAAGATTCCCCATATTTGCTGGAATGTGTAATGGTTATTGGTGAGAATTGCCAAAAATCCTATGCATGCTTTCATACTCTCCTGTGACTGGCTAGAGAGGCTATAAAAAGTTTGGGAGTCCGTACCCTTTTTCATGCAAGCGCCCCCATAGGGTGAGTTAGTTGGGGGATTAAATACCATTCATTCAAGGCCTCACCAGTTGAAAACTATCCTGGGCCAACCAGGACACCTACTAGTTTGTGAACATCCCAGAGAAAGCACGATTTTGTAAAGATTTTATTTTTTTAAGTTCTCTCCACACCATACAGATTTGGGCTTAGAAGACGGGAAAATCCACATCAATGTATTGAACCTACGTGTTTCATTTGCTCACAGACTTTTACACACTAATATTCTACAAAAGAAACTACTGTAGCGAAGAGAACTGCCCTTTTGATTTGCTTCATTTCTTTGTCGACCCATTAGCACGCTGTCAGAGGTCTGTCTTTTTGCAAACAAGCTGAAAAGCATCCTTCCAAAGAGACCTATATAAATATTCATATATAGGTCTAGAATATTACTGTTCAACATAAATGTTATTTCTAGAAAAAACTTAGCAGAAGTTAGAACAACGTGTGACATCTTTAGCCACTTAAAAAAAAAAAGTCAAAAAAATTTCAAAATTACTGTTTTTTTGACAGTTAATATATACAAATACATATTGGCCAAAACTCAGGAAATTAATGCCTGGGTTGAATAGTTGGGAGAATTTTTGTTCAACTGAAATGCCTTATCTCTCTCTCTTTTTTTTTTTTTTTTTTTTTTTTTTAAGATTTTTATTTATTTATTTGATAGAGATCACGTTTAGGCAGAGAGGCAGGTAGAGAAGAGAGGAGGAAGCATGCTCCCTGCGGAGCAGAGAGCCTGATGTGGGGCTCGATCCCAGGACCCTGAGATCATGACCTGAGCCGAAGGCAGAGGCTTCACCCACTGAGCCATCCAGGCGCCCTTTGTTGGATTTTCTGTATAGACAATCCCATTTATCTGCATATAATGATGCAGTTATTTCCGGTTCTTACAGTTCTTTCCTTTTCTCACTGCACTGCTGTGCCCTGTGCTCCCCAGTGTGGTGTTACAGAGACACAGTGACTGTGAGTTTTGTCTTGTTTCTCCCTTTACCAATCACTGTGATATTTGGTGTAGCCACTAAGTAGTTTTCCCCATCAGGTTAAGGAAGTTCTTGTATATACCTAACTTACTAAGGACATTTTTGTTTGCATTGTGAATTGAAATTTTCAATGTGCCAAAGGAGGTTCAAAACAGTGAAAGCAAAACCAATGAATCATTAAAGTAGTAGTTAGTAAAAAAAAAAAAAATAATAATAATAATAATTGCATACACACCAAAAAGACAGTTTACAAACAGGGACCATTCAGACCAGACTGTGGGATGAGGCTTAGGGGTATGTTTGTGATCGAGCTTCATAGTGAGAAAGCCGTGAGGATTTATTTTTCAGGGATTTGTCGCAATATTAAAATTTTCAGTGGTTCCCTCTTCCTGACCTTGAGAAACAGTTCAAAGCTTCCTTTTTCTTTCCAGAGACACAAGCAACAATTCAGGTCAAGTTAGCCTTGTAAAATAAACTGAATTAAGCTTTGTTTGCATGACCTGGTTTGGCCCACTCAGGGAATTTGCAAGGCTGGTCTCCTCCGTTTCTGATTTTAACAGCATCTGTGGAAAGGAACATACAGTTTTTCTCCTTTTAATACCTCTGTGTGCTTTCCTAGTATGACATAGTGTGTTATGTAGATCATGATGTATTTTGATCATCGTGTATTTGGCGAACACTGTTAGATTTGGCTTACCGTGATTTCTGATTTTCACATTTAAATGAATGGATGGAATGAGCTTATGGTATACTCTGATCAGTTTTGCTTGTTTTTTAAACCATCCAGACCATGTATCTGACTTCTTTTGCTCATGGTTATATTGTTAAAATTCACGCCTACTGTTGTATGTAGCTACAAGTGGTTGGTTCATTTTCGTTGCTACATCAAGGGTAAACAAAGGCAGGCTGTGGTTAAAGTGGTAAAAACACTACCAGGTATTTACACGAAGGATACAAACATAGTGATTTGAAGGGGCGCATGCACCCCAGTGTTTACAGCAGCAACGTCCACAATAGCCAAAGTATGGAAAGAGCCCAGATGTCCATCAACAGATGAGTGGATAAAGTCGTGTGCGTGTAGGTGTGTGTGCACATGTGTACGTGAGTGCGTATGCATATATAGTGGCCCATGACTCAGCCATCCAAAAGAATGGAAGCTTGCCATTGACAACGATGTGGATGGAACTAGAGGGCATTAAGCTAAGCGAAATAAGGCAGTCAGAAAAAGATAAATCTGTGATTTCACTCGTGGAATTTAAGAAGCCAAACAGATGAACATAGGGGAAGGGAGGGGAAAAAGAAGATGAAATCAGAAAGGGAGACAAACCAAGAGACTCTTAACTCTAAGAAACAAACTGAGGGCTGCTGGCGGGGAGAGAAGCGGGGTGGGGGTGGGGGGTGGGAATGGGGTAACTGGGGGATGGGCATTAAGGAGCGCACGTAATGGATTGAGCACTGAGTGTTGTAATGGATTGAGCACTGAGTGTTCTGTGCAACTGATGAATCCCTAAACTCCATCTCTGAAACTAATAATACATTCTATGTTGATTGATTTTAAATAAAAAATAGAGGGAAGGACAGATTTTAATCAGGAACGGACTGTTTCAATAGGAAAGAGTCCACCGTGAACCAAGGCTGCTTGGGTTTGTGCAGAGGTGACTGGCTTAGTTAAGGGGGAGTGAAGGAGTGGGAGGGGGGAGGGAGTGGGGCTCAGGGGACTGGGGGAGTGAACAATTAGAAGGGGAGGAGATGTGGTTCCTTTGAGACCCATCTGGGTTGGCTAAGTGGCATTTATTAAAGTTAAGCTCCTACCTTTCCCGGGAGACTGGGAGGCAGGGGCCCTATCTTCGGGTGTTGGCTGGGACAAAGAGAAAGTTCTTTCCGTAGCCTTGAGATTTTTTCAGACCAGCACTGTCAGGGGAGCTGGGCCAGCGCCGGGCTGTGGCCTTAAGCTGTGTCTGAAGATGTCTTAAAGGTATCGTTAAATGTCTGAAGTGTTTGTTACTGTTTTTTTTTTTTTTTTTTTTTTTTTTTTTTTTTCAGCCACTGAAAAACTCTGGATACAAGTCTTTTGTTACTTTATTGCAGATCTTTTTTCTCACTCTGTGGCTTGCCTTGCCACCTTTTTTTTTTTTTTAAGATTTTATTTTTAAAAGATTTTATTTACTTTTTTGACAGATGGAGAGCCAGAGAGCACAAGCAGGGGGAGTGGCAGAGGGAGAAGGAGAAGCAGGCTCCCTGCTGAGCAAGGGAACCCGAGGCAGGGCACTATCCCAGGACCCTGGGATCATGACCCGAGCAGAAGGCAGATGCTTAACTGACTGAGCCACCCAGGCACCCCAAAGATTTTATTTATTTGAGAGAGAGACAGAGAGAGAGAGAGAGCATGAACAGGGGGTAGGAGCAGAGGGAGAGGAATCAGCAGACTCCCCACTCAGCAGGGATTCCGGGACTTGATCCCACAGCCTTGAGATCCTGATGCTTGACTGACTGAGCGCCCCCCACCCCCACCCAGGCACCCCTGCCCTCTCACCTTCTTAATGTAGTATTTTGATGAGAAAAGGTAGACGTTCTTAATTTTATTAGGATTAGGTCTGCCCATATTTTCTTTCTTGGTTAGTGCTTTTTTGCATTTTTTAAAAAAGATTTTATTTATTTGAGAGAGAGAGAGAGAGAGAGCATGAGAGAGAGCATGAGAGGAGAGAGGTCAGTGGGAGAAGCAGACTCCCTGCTGAGCAGGGAGCCCGATGTGGGCCTCGATCCCGGGACTCCAGAATCATGACCTGAGCTGAAGGCAGTTGCCTAATCAACTGAGCCACCCAGGCGCCCCTACATTTTTTTTTTTAAGAAATAGAACATTTGGGGGAGCAGTTTTAGGTTCACAGCAAAATTGAGCAGAAAGTACAGAGATTTCCTAAGTACCTCTGTCCACCCACGTCAGCACAGCCTCTCTATCCTCAGCCCCTGCCAGAGTGCTGTTTGTTACAGTGGAGGAAACTACACTGGGCCCTCGTTATCACACGAAGCCCCGAGTTTCCAGTCAGGTTAGTGTCACGCATTCTCTGGGTTTTAACACATCGATGGTGACGTGTGTTCATCATGACCGGATCCTACAGAATGGTTTCACTGTCCTAAAGATCCTGAGTGCTCGGCGTATAACTCCCTCCCTCACATCCCCCACTAAGCCCTGGCAACCGCCAATCTTTTCCCTGTCTGTACGGCTTTGTGTTTTCAGGAATGTCTTATAGTTGGCACCGTGCAGCAGGTGGCCTGAAACTGACTTCTTTCACTTACTCTGCATTTACTCTCCTCCATGGCTTTTCCTGGCTTGATCGCTCTGTGCGTGCGCGTGCGCGTGTGCGCGGTCAGTACTATCCCATTGTCTGAATGTACCACAGTTTCTCCATTCAGTTATTTAAGGACCTCTTCCTTGCTTTGAACATTTGACCATCACGAAAAAAGCTGCTCTAAACAATTGTGGTCATAGATTTTCAACCAAGGGCCTTAATTGCTGATAAGAGTTTGTTGAGTTTTGTTAGAAACTGCCCAATCAGGGCGCCTGGGTGGCTCAGTGGGTTAAAGCCTCTGCCTTCAGCCCAGGTCATGATCTCAGGGTCCTGGGATCAAGCCCCTCATCGGGCTCTCTGCTCAGCAGGGAGCCTGCTTCCTCGTCTCTCTCTGCCTGCCTCTCTGCCTACTTGTGATCTCTGTCTGTCAAATAAATAAATAAAATCTTATAAAAAAAGAAACTGCCCACCGGTCTTCCATAGTGACTACCGTTCTACGTTCCCACTAGCAGTGAATGAGAATTCCTGTTGCTCCACATCCTCACCAGCATTTGGTGGTGACCGCGTTTTGGATTTTTGACATTCAAGAGGCGTGTAGGGGTCTCTTTATTTGTTGTTTAAATTTGCATTTCTTTGAGGATAGTGTATTTTCTGAGGCTTATTTGCCACCTGTGTATCTTCTGTAGTGTGCTGTGTCTGTTCAAATCTTTTGCCCATTTTTATTTATTTGAGAGAGAGAGAGAGAGTGCCAGGGAGAGTAGGGTGAAGGGCAGAGGGAGAAGCAGACTCCCCGCTGAGTGGGGAGCCTGAGGTGGGACTCGATCCTGGGACTCCAGGATCATGACCTGAGCCAAAGGCAGACACCCAACCAACTAAGCCACCCAGGCACCCCTTGCCCATTTTAAAATCAGGTTGTTTTTTCTCTTGTTGAATTTAAGAATGATGTTTCGGGGCCCCTGGCGGGCTCAGTCAGTGGAGCATGTGACTCTTTATCTCAGGGTTGTGAGGTCAAGCCTCACGCTGGGTGTGGAAATTAAAAATCTTAAAAAAACAAAACAAAACAATGTTTTGGATACCCTCCCTTTTTAGGATTTATGGATGAGGCTCTGTCCCTGTTCCACATCCCTCCCAAACTTTGAGGACATCAGTCCTACCTTCTGCCCTAGCAGGGACATTAGGACCTCAGTTCTTAGGTTTTAGAGTCTGAATTTAGATCTAAAATTCCGGGGGGCATGAGCTCACTCTGGCTTTGATTTCTCCCCTCCCCACTTTTCTGGACCTCAGAGAAAACTTCCCTTAAATCAAAGATACAAAATTTCACTACCCTTAAGTGGATGTGTAGGCATGGATATGACGGGGCAGAGGCGTCCTGCGGGTCGTCCTGTGGGTAGCCTAGAAGAGTGGAACGACATGCCTCGAGTTTTATTTTTTCTTATTTTTTGAAGATTTATTTGAGAGAGAGCATGCACGTGCGGTGGGGGCTGGGGGGCGGTGAGGAGGGGCAAAGGGAGAGGGAAAGAAAGAATCCAAAGCAGAGTTCCTGCTGAGCGTGGAGCTTGACGCAAGCTTCTCTCACAACCCTGATGTCACAACCTGAGCAGAAACAGGAGTTGCATGTTTCAACTATGGAGTCACGTGCCTTGAGTTCGAAATGGACAATTACTGTCCCCTAACTGCCAAATAAATGTCTGTCGGGGATGGCGCAAGTATTCCAAGTAGTTTGGTCATACGCTCCTTTGCAAATACGGCTCTTAAATACCTCTCCTTTCTAGACGTGCGTTCCAAACGGGAGTATGACGAAAGCCACGTGATCACAGCCCGTCGAGTGAAGAAGGTAGAGTGGCAGAGCCGGAATGTGGGGCAGGCTGGCTATCTGATGGGGGGGGGGCAATGGGGGATTTTATCCCAGATCTGGGAGGCAGCATGGTGGGGGACACTGTGGGCAGCAGAGGTAGGACCACCCCTGGGTGGGATGCTGGTCTCCCACGCCCCTCCCATGCTCCCTCAGGTGTCCCCACCACCCCCATCACGGCCAGCAGCTTCCCTGAGCAGATGTTGATTTAATTCCTTGATGGGCCAGCACTGTTCCAGACCTTGGGGGCTACAACAGAATGTAAGATGCCCCTGGCTCATTGTTTTCTGTCCTACTTACGGAACAGACAGTAAGAAAGCATCGAGGTAATTAGTATAACCCAGATTGGCTCAGACCGAAGGGCAAGCAACTCTTGATCTGGGGCAGGTTGGAGCCCCACACTGGGCAGAGAGATTATTTATATAAATAAACTTTAAAAAATTATAATCCAAAGATGGAAGCCACTTCTCTTCCCTTCCCCACTTCCCTGCCCCTCCCCCATTCCACCTTTAAAAAAAAATATTTACTTGAGAGAGAGAGCACGGAAGAATGCGCAAGGTTGCACAAGCAGGGGTGGGGCAGAGGGAAAGGGAGCAGAAGACTCCCTGCTGAGCAGGGAGCCCCACCAGGAGATCCCAGGACTCTGGGATCATGACTTGAGCCCTAGGCAAATGCTTAACCGTCTGAGCTGCCCAGGAGACCCTGATTCCACTTTTTTAGAAAGACTGAGCCCTGCACGCAGTCACTGTGCCCCCCCCACCCCCCGCTCCTGGAGTGAGCCCCCTTTCTCTACCCCCACGGGGTTTCTTCTCTCTCCGGGCATCACCAAGCCTGGCAGCCTCGGCTTAGGATCCATCTCCGTCCTCTGTCCTGACCGCATTCTCTGCCTCCTCCTCCCAAGGTCCATCTGTCTTCCCTGGTTTCTCCTCTTTGTCCCTGGTTCAGCTTCCTTTATCTCCTGGCGCTGCCTGAAGAAAGTCACCGGTTCGTCCTTGGTCTCCTTCAGATCTGTCCGTGCACCTGCCTGCTCAGAGACCTCGCTCAGGCTTCCAGCTTCAGCTGTCCAGCCACAATCAGCTGTCCTGTCAGTTTTGCTTCTCAAGTTTAGTCCGGCGACACTGACCCCTGCACTTCCCACCGCCGGCTGTGCTGGGATGACTCTCTGGCCCTTTGCCCCGGGCAGCTTGATGGGGGAGCCTGGACCCTGGCTCAGGCATTTTTCCAGGGTCAGCTCACTGGCTGCTGGGGGGGGGGGGTATAGCTCAGTGGTAGAGCCTTTGACTGCAGGATTAGCTTGCCGCCTAAGACACCCCTCTTCCCACCCAGGGCTCCCTGCACCCATCATTACCTGCTGGGGTGTGGGGGGGGGGTTCAACTGTCTGGCTTCAACCTTTAGCCCTTAATCCGCATTTCAGAACTTTCTCTACTTTCCGCAGCCTGTGCAGAGCCCACCCCTTTGTCCTGTGTGGCTCTTGGTTTCGGGTTCCACTCCCAGATCTGCAGATCCCCTTGATTCTGGCAGCACTCCTGACTCTGGAAGAGACCTTCTCTGGGGCTCAGTTGGGCTGACACCTCTTGGCTCCCCCTCCCCAACTTCCCTGCCGGCAGCCCCAGCTAGGGGGGAGTGCCTCTGTCTGGCAAGCATACTTCCGCGCTCTCCCACACCTCAGTAGCATTGCCCCGCTGCATTTCCTTGTTTCTAAATGCACACATCACCCCATATTTGAACATTTCTGAAATTGAAATATACCCTACAGTTGATATGCACTTATTTATTTTTTTAAGTATATATTTGAAAAAGAGAGAAAGAGAGAGAGCGCAGTAGCAGGAGACTCCAGGATCATGACCTGAGCCAGAGGCAGATGCTTAACCGGCTGAGCCATCCAGGCGCCCCCACCAACGGTCTAGGACCTAGAGTATGTGCAGCCCCCAAGCACGCTGCTCTCTCAGACCTCCAGGCCTTTCGCTGGGAGCACAGGGATGTGGGATGCCGTGCCTTGCTCGTCTCTGTCCCGGAGGCTCTATCTGGCCTTTGGCATCTGGGATGTGCTCCGCACGTTCGTTGACTAAGGTGAACGGCTGGAAGCTGTTCCGCCTGGAACGTTCTCCCCACCCTCGTCCATCCAGCGGATTTCCCCTTGCAGCCCCAGCTCCAATCCCTCCCGCCCTGCCATGGCCTTTCTGAGTCCTCTGGGCCAACTTGGGTGTCTCCTGGGCCGCCTTGAACCTCTGTATTCCAGAACCCCACACAGAGTAAGTGTAGACCTTCAGCCTACACTTATTGAGCGAACAAGCGAATGTCCAGCCACATCCGTCCTGCCCTCCCACCTGCTCCCCCCTCCACTCCCTTCCCCTTTGCGCATGTTCTGCTCTGCACCCAGGAACCTCCGTGCACACTCTGGCCGCACCTGCTCTCTCCTTCCTCCAGACAAATAGGACTCCTGCCCTCTCCGTCGCAGAGAACCTTCTGGTCTGTCCTTCCATGGGCCTTGCTTGATTGCCTTGTGGTAGAATCAATAGAAGCTCACCCTACCCCACCTGCGGGTCCTCTGCGGGGCTGTCTTTGTCAGCCACACAAGGGTGCAAGGGACAGCGGCAGGCCCAGCGCCCCTGAGTAGAGGGGGCCTTCGGGAAGCACACAAATGTGTGAAGACTAACCTCCTAGCTGCCTTCCAGCCAGGCCTCCTTGAGCTCTGGGACACCCTTTGGGGTCCTGGGCATTGTTCCTGCCCCCGCGGCCCACCTTCCTGGCAACTCAGCCGCTCCCGGCTGCTCACGAAGTCCTGGTTCCTGCTTGCCCTTTCCTCCCTCTGACCTATTCATAGCCACATGGGCGTGGAAGGTGCTCGACGTCCAGCGCACTCTCCAGTCCCTCTTCGATGCTTCCAGGGCGGGGGGGGGTGGGGGGGGGGGGGGGGGGAGGGCGCAGTCCTTCTTCCAGATGCACGCAGGGCCGGAGTGCGGGGAGCATGTGCCCCGCTGAACCCACCCGCCAACAGACCTCTCCTCCGGTTCCTTTAGAGGGCGAATGAGTATCTCATCCCGGAGTCTGTGGATCTGGAGTGCGTGAGACACTGTGTGGTGTATGACAACAACACCAGCACGCTGGAGATCATCTTTAGAAGGGAGAACAAGGAGGAAGAGGAGGAGGAGCTGCTCTCTGACAAGAGTAGACGAAGTAGGTTTTTACGCGCGTGGTCGGAACAGCAGCTGGCTGTGGTCTAGCCCTTTCGAGGCGCGCCGGGAACCACACCGAAGGCTCTCCCTGGGTCAGCTCCTGGGGTCTGCAGAACACACCCCCGAGAAATGGGTTATGCCAAGGATGGGGAGGGCCTGGGGGGTTTCCTTCCTTGCAAGATGACAGGTGAGCCTGCCACAGTCTCACGAGCTGCCAGAAGACGTGAGGCTCCTGGGTCAGTCGATGGAGTTTATTACTCAGAGCAGTGGAGGTAGCTGGAATGTTCTTTCCCTGACCTGGTGCCCAAACCCCCATTCTTACAGGGTGACAGGAAGAGGGCCAAGGAAAACCTACCCACATAGTGGGTTGTATTACAGGAGAGCTCTGAGCTCAGGGGACTGAAATCTTTTCTTTTTTAAAAGATTTTATTTATTTGACAGACAGAGATCACAAGTAGGCAGAGGCAGGCAGAGAGAGAGAGAGAGAGAGAGGAGGAAGCAGGCTTTCTGCTGAGCAGAGAGCCTGATGTGGGGCTCGATCCCAGGAACCTGGGATCATGACCCAAGCTGAAGGCAGAGGTTTTAACCCACTGAGCCATCCAGGTGCCCCAAAATCTTTTTTTCTTTAAAGGTTTTATTTGAGAGAGAGTGTGAGAACCAGCAAGAGGAGGTGCAGAGTTCTTGCCAAGCAGGGAGCCAGATGCGGGGCTCCATCTCAAGACCCTGAGATCATGACCTGAGCCCAAGTCAGATGCTTAGCCAAGTGAGCAACCCAGGTGCTCCCGGGGCCTGAATTTTTTATAATGGGCAGAAAACCTGCCCGCCCCTGGCTCTAGAGGGAGAAATGGTCTAGCTTCCCAGGCTCTTTGATATATAGATACTTTTGAAAAGCCAGTACCTTTGCTCACAGGACACTTAGAAACCTGAGAGGCCATGGAGAATGGTCTCTAATAGGTAACACCCCCATTTTATAGATGGGGAGATTGAGGCCCAGAAAGGCACATGCAGTAACTCGCTCAAGGATGTGTTAGCTGTTTATTGCCATGTAATGAATTACCCCCAAACTCAGTAGCTTAATACAGCAAACCTTAATGAATTAACAGTACCAGGTTCTGGTACAGCGTGCCTCCTGAGATCACAGTTGAGATGGTGGCCAAGGTCACTGTCCTCTGAAGGTCTGACTGGGCTGGGATGATCTGTGCGCAAGGTGTGCCCCACTCTCATGGGTATGGCCGGGAGGCCTCGGTCTGCCACCTGGATCTCTCTGTAGGACCGCTTGTATGGCCTTGTGACACGGCAGCTGGTTTCCCCCGGAGCAGGCCATCTAGAAGAGCGGGAGAGCCAGGGACAGCCACACGCCTCTTGCGACTGAGTCCTGAGACTTCTGGTCCCTCCTGCCCCATTTTGTTCGTTAGAAGGAAGTCACGGAGTCCAGCCTTCCCTCAAGGGGTGGGGAGTCAAACTCAACCTCCCTTTGTAGTCTTTCAAATATTCTTCCTTGTGTTTGGAAGAATCTGTGGACTGTTTTTGGAACCACCACACCTAGTAAGCAGTGGGGCCGGATTTGAACCCCGGGCAGGTTGGCTCTGGTCTCCCGAAGCCTGGAGAGCAATGCAGAGTCACTCCAGTCCTGAGCCCAAGTGTGGTCGGCTCTAATCTTCTGTTTTTTGAGGCCCCGGGCACGGTCCACCCAGCCCCGGGTTTGGGGCTGACAACCCCTCGCCGTTGCCATGGCCCAGGTGTTCATGGCAGCGGTCACTGGGTGGCGCTAGGCTTCCATCTTTAATCTAACCTGTCTTTCCCAGGGGTTCCTTTGCCAGGATTTCGTGCTGTCTTCCCCAGGCTTATCCGGTTAGGTTCCAGTCTGCAATCCTAGGATTATAGGCTGGACCCTAAAACCATAGGAAACCGTGGTCAATGAAGAGAAGCCCCTCTGTGTTCTATAGATGACCTCATGGAGGCCCCATTTCACCCAGTAGGAAACCACATCAGTGAAACAACACAGCAAAACCCCAAACTGCGCACGTGCGTGTACACACACACACACACACACACATACTCACCTTGTCCACTCAAGGCACTTTCCTCCTTTAAAATGGCATCTTCCAGGGCGCCTGGGTGGCTCAGTGGGTTAAGCCTCTGCCTTCATGAACTCAGGGTCCTGAGATCGAGCCCTGCATGGGGCTCCCTGCTCAGCAGGGAGCCTGCTTCCTCTTCTCTCTGCCTGCCTCTCTGCCTACTTGTGATCTCTCTGTCAAATAAATAAAATTAAGAAAAAGAAAACATCTTCCAGGTGAACACAGAGTTTCTGGGGTAAAAGACCATTTGAGGTTTCTCCCTCCAGCCCCTTTCCACTGGTAACCATTCACCTCCCCACCTTCCAGGGGAGTCTGGTTGAGGGCGGAGCCTTCATTAGCTCCTAGAACCAGGGATCTGGCTCTGTTCCTTTTACCAGGCAAAGGGTGGCCCCTTTCTTGGAAGCGAGACCTTTCCCTTATATTAAACCAGCCTTTCTTCCTTGCCACATATGGATTATAGACCACATGTGGGTTGGGCCTTCACCAGGACTGTGGGGGGACGCTTAGGGAATGTGGGCATGTTTCTTTTCTTCCTCTCTGAGCAAAGCCTGACTTTCAAGCCAGTTGCCTGGCAAAGGACCAAAAGTAATTGAACTTAAAACTCACTGCTGAGTAGAGAGCCCCTTGGCCTGAATGGGGTTCCCTGTCCTCCTGGAGCAGTGGGTGCCCCAATTCAAAGTAAGAAGCTTTGTGTCATTGGAGAACTCAAGATTAATGGGATTAAAAATAAATTTAATGTTAATAACCCCGTCATATCTGTGGCTGGGTAGCCTGGGCCCCGGACTGTCCTCATGGCTTTCCTCTGGAGTCTCTCTAATCATTCCCCTGGAAACTGGCCTTTCTCCAGCACTGACCTCTGTGGCACCCCAGTGAATGAGCCCCCCGCAGGCCCTGTGACATTGGGGGGAACAGCTGTCTGGTTTAAAGGCAGCAGCAGTGTTCCTGGGACTCCGCTCTCCTGAACCCTCTGACCCCTCTGCCATTATTCAGTCTGTTGCTCAAGAGCGGGATGGTGTTGAGACACCCAGGGACTCTGGCTTCAAAGCCGGGCATTCTAGGATAGGGTCTGGCTCCTGTCTCGCCAGCTACAGTGCCTCTTCTGGCCTGGCTGCGGGACTCCAAGGTTCTGGATCCTCCAGATCCAGTCCCCGAGACGGATCTCAGGCCCCCATTGTCCTCAGCGGCCCCTGATCGAACTGGATTTCTCTGGACAAAGGTTCGGTGCAGAAGTCAGAGTCCGTGCCCTTCCCTTTCTCCTTTCAGCTGGCTCCCCAGGGTCTCCAGCGAGGCATTCCAGGCATGCATTCGTCTTTAGGGCTTAGGTCCTGGCCTGGGGTTGGGGGGTGGGGAGTCTCTTAGCTTGGCCTTAATTATGCAAACTTGCTGAGAGCTATCTAATTTGCATACAGTGTCCCAGTGATTCTGCAGAGCAGTGAAGGCATTTAAGATTAAATCAATGTTGGGGCGCCTGGGTGACTCAGTGGGTTAAAGCCTCTGCCTTCAGCTCAGGTCATGATCTCAGGGTCCTGGGATCAAGACCCGCATCACAGCAGGGAGCCTGCTTCCTCTTCTGTCTGCCTGCCTCTCTGCCTACTTTTGATCTCTGTCAAATAAATAAAATCTTTAAAAAAAGATTAAATCAATGTCAAAGGCACAGTGCACTGTCCCATCACTCCCGCGAGAATGGCCGTGAGCACAAAGATGGATACTCACGGGTTGATGAGGCTGTCGAGAAACTGAAACACCCATGCTCCACGGGTCAGAGCTGTCAGATCGGGTGCTAGGGGCCAGTTTGGTGTTTCTGTCAAAAAGTTAAACACAGAGTTATGGTGTGGCTCAGTTCTGCTCCGAGGTACAGACCCAAGGGAGGGGAAGACACGTGCATACAGGCGTCCACCCCAGCACCGTCCACAGCAGCGGGAAGCGGACATGACCCCGTGCACCGCGACGGACGGGCGGATAAACGCAGAGTGGAAGGAGGAGTACTCAGCCCTGAGAGGGAACGCAGTACTGACAGCGAGGAACTTGGGAGACCCCTCTGCTAGGCAAAAGAAGCCAGACACAAAACCAGACACTGTAGGACTCCATCTGTATGAGACGTCCACAACAGACGAGTCCCCAGAGAGAAACTGGGTTAGTGGTTGCCTCCAGCTGGGTGTTTGAAGAAAGAGTAAAACCTTCTAATCCGTATGGATTTCTTTTAGGGGTGATGGTTGCACAGCTCTGTGGATATGCTGAAAACCATTATCTCCCCACTTCGTGTATCGTATACACGGTACACGATATGATGCGTATAGAGACCTGTCCCTTCTGTTAAATCCTTTCTCCTCGAGATAACGCAGAGATCTATGTCGTCTCAGTGTTTACAGAGGGGAAGGATCAGCTTACTTGGTAGCAGGTGGCCTTTTAAATTTGAGCTGCTAACACTCCCCTCCCTTTAGAGCTGCTTCGGGGTCCTAGACCGCCGCGTTTCCAAATCGAGTGGCCGTCGACCAGAGCTTTAGGCAAACGGTGAGCACGCGGGGGCCATTCACCTCTTTGGTCTCTGTTCTTAGAACTGGTGCCCGGAGCAGCCGTGGAGTGTGGCAGAGCGCTGGCCGCCCTCACCCGCCACCCCGTGTGCATCCTGAGAGGAGGCTACGAGCGCTTCTCGGCCATGTACCACTTCTTCCGGACGCAGAAAATCATCTGGGTGCCGCAGGTGAGGCGGGGTGCCGAGCCCAGGCCGGCTTGGATGGACGCATGGTCTCTACCCCCACCCCCTCCCCGGGACCGAGGGGTGGGGAGCAGGGTAGGGGAAGAGGAGGTGCGCAACATGGCAGTGATGGAAGGGATGGAGGAGACTGGTTGGGAAGTAGACCTGGGGCATCCAGGAGGTCCAGGCCATGAGGGTGAGTTTCTCCTCTCGCACGAGGGTAAAGAGGTGAGGCCCGCCCGGAGGGCAGGGGTCCTGGGGGAGCTTTGGAGGGCGGGCCGTTGTCGTCAAAGACAGGCAGGGGCGCCTCTCCATTCTCAGCTGTCTGGACCCAAAGCTCAGAGGACACAAAACAGATGGGTTAGCACAAAAAAGGTGAGGAGTTCTTGGCTAGAGGGAGCGACGAGGGGCACCCCAGGTGTCTGGAACGCAGAGGTGAGGCCCCTCCTGGAGCCAGCCCCAAAGGAGGAGGAGGAGCCTACCAGGAAGAGAGGAGGGTGGAGGGTGGCTGAGGCAGGCCCGGGTGGCCATGACCTACAGGTGGGGGCTGGTCCCTGGAGGGCATCACGCAGGGTGGTGGGTGCTTACTGAAGAGTCTGAATGCAGTGGGATGTAGACACGCGGGGGCTTCATTCTTTCTAGTAATTACCTTTGGCTCTTAGCCCTTAGCCGCATCTTGGGCAGATTCTGGAAGTTCTGGCCACTGCCAATCTGACCATAAAGTGATCGGGGAAATGTGTGTGTTAACTGGATCTTTCAGAGATACAGAATGAAACATTTACGGGGTTAAACAACATTTCCTTCATGGCATTTCCTTCATGGTAATCCGGGTGTGTTGGGGAATGGTGAGGATAGAGTTAAAACTAAACAGGCCGTTAGCAGATGATGTTTGCAACCAGGCAATTGACCAGGGGTTTATTACACTGTTCTCTCTACTTTGGCGTGTTTTCGAAATAATTTCCTAAAAGAAAGGAAAAGCCATCGGGCCGATACAAGCCAGGCTATGTTAGCGCTCCAGTGTCGCTGTCTTCCCTCCTCCCATCCCCCCAGAGCTGGGCAGTCTTCAGTTTGGGGGGGGTGGGAGTGGCCAGGGGTGTGGGTTAGCTGCGGGGACCTCTCCTCTCTTCCCTGCTCTGGGCCGGGCCGTGACTTTGGCGCGGTCCAGGGTGGGGCCTGTCTTGAGGGAGGGGCTGTCCATCAGTGTTAGGGCTGTGCCTTCTGCATGTTGCTCGTGGCCTGAGCTGCTGGTTTCCTTGGGGCCCACCTCAGGGGCCCCTTTTGCTACTAAGGATCTTTCAGAGAAAGCCAGCTGGGACTTCCTGCCACGAGCCCCCCCGCCCCAATTCCTTGTTTCACTTGGGCAGTCCATGACCCCCCCCACCCCCGCCCCCATCTGCTTTCCTTCACACAATGATTTCTAGCTCTGCCGGTGTACGTCAGCCTCTGTCCTGCCAGGCCCTGCTCACGCCTAGAGGAGCTGCCCTTACTGGCTTTTCCATGTGCAAAATAAGCATTTCTCTAAAAACCTCATCCTGCTGGTAACTCCCTTCCTTCCTTTGGAAAGGAAGCTTCAGTAAGGCTCAGTAACCTGTAAGTAAGTCCGTCGACATGGAAGGAACTGCACGTAATTAACCGTATGTTTTTGTCCATGGTGACGTGTGTCTGCACCTGTGACTTACCCTTGCCCCGCCTTGTGTGGACTGGGAAGCGTGGTGCGTGGTGGCTGGTGGTGGCAGTTAGCAGGGGTTCTGCCCTAGGGGTCTGTGGCCTACCGTAGAGCGTAGGCACCTCGTGTTAGTCTCTCCCTGCTTCGGAACCTTTGTGAGTTGTTCAGGGGCAAGGATGAAAGCCCCAGTCCCCTCCTGCATGTTCTGAGATGGTGGAAAACAGGGGTATCCCTGCTGCTCCCCAAGGAACTCCTTCTAGGAGGTCGGGTGGCAGTGCTGAATGTGGCCTTTAGACAGAGCGACTTCTCATTTCCTCTGCTTTACATGTGGCCTCCCTTAAATGAGATTTCGCTTGGAGCAAGAAGTGTTGGGACTACAACGGGAAGCCCACACCAGAGAGAGGGTGGTGAGCCCTGGGGTTTGGGGGGGGGGGACTGGTGCTGTCAGGCTGCACTTGGCAAAGTTCCGCGGTGATCATGGTATGGAAAGCAGACCCATAGGGGCTGCTGGGTCGGTCTGGGGAAGGTGGAAGGCCATGATGGTGAGTAGAGGACAGATTCAGGAAACACTTGGGCAGTGGCACTGATTAGACACTGGGGTGGGGGAGTGAGGGTGGGACGTCGGGGAGGAAGGAGCCTGGGATCAGTGCCCGGGTTCTTGGTGTGGGTGACAGGTCGGGGACACGGGAGGTGGAGTCAGTGTGGGGGAGGGCAGCAGGCTCAGTTTGGACATCCTCATGGATGTGGGTATCCAAGGCATGGCACCTAGAATTAACACACGCTTGCTCTCACCAGCCCGGCCTGTTTTTCCCCTGCCCCACAGCCGCAGGAAAGGAAGTGGGTTTGGAAGCAGCAGGAAGAGTTGATAGGTCTGTGTCAGGTGTTCAGGGAAATTTTCTGGATGAAGCTGGGGGGTGTCCTTTGGCTCCAGCAAGCTGAGCGTCCTGGGCGCAGTCAGCCCGAGCCCTGGGGAAGCTTTGGGTCGTACGGAGCGGGCCTGCCTGCCGGTAGAAGGGTCCTGCGCCCCTTTTGCACACTTAAGCATTGGCTTGGCTTGCTCTCTGTTCTTCCAGAAAGGCTTTTGGAGGCTGACAGCTTGGGAAGGATGTAGGCTTGCAGTAAGCTCACTGGGAGGGGTGTGGGCTAAGGGCAGGAGGCCTGCAGTACTTCTGTCTGAGTCCCACTCGGAGCCAGAGGAATTTTAGAACTAGGTTTGACCTTTGAAAATACCAAGGTCAGCATTTCCCATGAAACACTCACACCTTCAAAAAGGATTTCTAAACAGATCGTATTGGAAACAACAATGTATACAACGTGAGTGGGGGTTTTGTGTGTTTTCTTGAGGTTCTGCCTAGCTTTTATTGTACTAAATATCACAAATAATTTACAACCCATGTCAATAATAAACCTGTAGCCACTGTGCTGGTATAAACATCTGGGCTACAAAAAGTCTGCCCGAGAAACCACTAGGAAGGTTTTCAGCAGTTCCCTGGAGGTACCCTTTGGGAATAGCGTTAGCCTGCCATGTTTTACTGGCTGTTTTCCAACTAGTTTATCAATTACATTTATAAATATATATATTACAAATTATAAATTACTATTTGATGACAATTTTTTTAACGACTTGGTTGACATTCTTGGAACAATCAGATTCTGTAAAATTTTCCCTTCAATTTTCTTGAGATAAAATTGACACAGAACACATGTAAGTTTCAGGTGTATGACGTGTTGACTTGATAACATGTGTATATTGTGAAAGGATCAACCCAATAGGGTTGAGTAACCCATCCATCATCTCACCCAATTGCCATTTTGTGTATGTGATGGTGAGAACGTTTAAGATCTCCTCTCCCAGCAACTTTCAAGTATGTAATACGGTATTGTTAACTGAAGTCCCCATGCTGTGACCAGCTCGCCAGAACTTGTGCCTCTTACGTCTGGAAGTCCGTGCCCTTTTGACCAACATCTCCCATTTCCCCCACTCCTGAGCCCCTGCCAACCACCGTTCTGCTCTCTGTTTCTGTGAATTTGGCCTTTTCAGATTCCGCATATAAGTGAGATCCTGCAGTAGCTTTCTCCGTGTGACTTATGGGCATGCCTTGAGAATATTGTGGCTTTGGTTCCAGACCACTACAATAAAGCCCATATTGTAGTAAAGCAAGGCAAATGAACTTTTTGCTGTGTATAATAAAAGTTATGTTTAGACTGTACTGCAGTCTGTTAAGTGGGCAATAACGTTGTGTCCAAAAAAATGGACATACCTTTTTTTTTTTTAAAGATTTTATTTATTTATTTGACAGATAGATCACAAGTAGGCAGAGAGGCAGGCAGAGAGAGAAAGGGAATCAGGCTCCCTGCTGAGCGGAGAGCCTGATGCGGGACTCGATCCCAGGACCCTGAAATCATGACCTGAGGCGAAGGCAGAGGCTTAATCCACTGAGCCACCCAGGCGCCCCAAAATGGCAGCATCTTTGAAGCAAAATAAAATGAAGCAATAAGATGCCATATTCCTGTGTTTTGCTCAGCGTCATGCCCTCAGGGCCCACCCACGTTGTCAGGAATGGCGGGAGATCCTTCTTTCTCACACCTGAGTAATATCCCATTCTGGACACAGGCCGTGTTTTCTTTATCTGTTCATCTGTCCGTGGACACTGAGGTTGTTCCTGTGTCTTGGCTGCTATGAGTAATGCTGGAAGGAGTACGGGAGGTACTCAACGCCGTGATTTCCTTTCCTTTGGATATGTCCCAAGAAGTGGCATGGCTGGACCATTTGGTAGTTCTATTTTTAAGTTTTTGAAAAGACTCCATACTGTTTTCCACAGTGGCTGTGGTTAGTGGATTTTTTTTTTTTTTTTTACTGCTTTTTCCTTCTCCTACCTTTCCTTGGTTATGTGCACTGTGAATTTCTGAGACAGGGATATCCTAGGTACTGTTCCCCATATGTCTTTGATCCTCTAAACCCTTTTTTCCCAGAGTGCCTCGGAAGGGACCACTGTTTCCTAGGACACACTTTGGAGGAATGTAGGATTAGTTTTTCTCATCAAGTCTTTGTTTTTCAAAGAAACCCCAATTTTTCATATCATAACTTTGGACCTGGGATTCCAGTGAGCTCCCATTAGGTGGTGTCCTGTCCTCCCTACCTGCCCACGTCAGAACTCGCCAGAATTCATTTCCTAATGACACATAGGCTCTCTGTGTAGTTTCAGTGGTTTTTTTTTCTTTTAAGAAGGTGTTAAAATTCTGGTGGCCTCCAGAAATATAGTACAATTATGTCATTAATATATATAATTATATAATAAAGGGGCTGTCCCTTCAATGATAATAGAATATAATTATAATACGTAATAATAGGCGCGCCTGGGTGGCTCAGTGGGTTAAAGCCTCTGCCTTCGGCTTAGGTCATGATTTCAGGGACCTGGGATCGAGCCCTGCATCGGGTTCTCTGCTCAGCAGGGAGCCTGCTTCCCCCCCCTCCCCGCCTGCCTCTCTGCCTACTTGTGATCTCTGTCTGTCAAATAAATAAATAAAATCTTTTTTAAAAATGTAATAATACAAGGCTTCCCACCCTCCCCTTTCCCCCTAATGGATATACCTTGGATTTATGCACTTCTGCATCGAGGGGTATCGGATGCCAATCTTTGTGCACCCAGAAAAGTGCCCACAGGTGCCATGGGGGGTAAGTGGGGTGCCCGTGTTCAGATGCAGCGTGCTGTCCCGTGGCTTAGTGGCCCCATCCAATGACTGTTAGCCTTCTAACTCCTCTTGCCAGTCAGACTCATTCATTATTCTAGATTATCTTTCTAACACCGAGCCACATTTCAAGAGACAGAAAACAAAAAGAATCCAACAACAGAAAACAAAAACCGTTTCTTCCCTGGGGAAAGAATATCTTATCCTATGGCCTACAGCACACGTATTCTGTACAGCAGCCTCTCTCCTTCCTTTCCCTCAGGAACTGGATGCCTTTCAGCCCTACCCTGCTGAAATAATTCCAGGCAAGATCTACCTGGGCAATTTCAGGCAAGCCTGCGACCCGAAAATTCAGAAGGATTTGAAAATCAAAGCACATGTCAATGTCTCCATGGAGACGGGACCATTGTGAGTAGAAATACTATTGATTTTCTTTTTTTTTAAATTAAGCATTTACATAAGATTCCTCGTGCCATGCATTTCTAGAGCGGAAAGGGCCTTAGAAATCGGCATCCGCTAGTATAGGCTCTGTACTTCCCTTCATCTGTTCGTGGTTTGTAGTCTTTCCTGGCTTGGCCATGGCGTCCTCTGCCTCGAGACCCATTACTTACCCTTCAGATCTCAGCAAAAGGAGGGCTTTCCTGGTGTTTACCATTATGGTACAGAGAATTCCATTTACCCTACTTCTCAGGGCCTCTGAGAAGTGACCCCTTAGTCCACTGGGGCTCCTATAGCAGACTGCCACAGACTGCTGGTTCATAAACAAATTCCTAATTGGATAAAAACCATAAATAAAGTTTATCGCCAGAAATAATTATGTAGGTAAATGTAAAACACTTTCGCTGTCACTGTTAGATTTCTTCAAAACATAACTGATCACATGGGGCACCTGGGTGTCTCCGTCGGTTAAAGCATCTGACTCTTGATTTTAGTTCAGGTCATGATCCCAGGTTCATGAGTTTAAGCCCCGTGTCAGGCTTGTGCTGGGCCTGGAACCTGCTTAAGATTCTCCCTCTCCCCCTGTCTCTGCCCCCTACCTTCTAAAACACAAAAACAAATACGACAGAAAACCTAATTGAGCACAGAAAAAATAGTAACAATGTATTTTGAGATTATGACATGTGTAGAAGTAGTATGTGTGCCCACAGTTTCCTAGGCAGGAAGAGAGAATAGAAGTAGACCCTTGGAAGGGTCTTACTCTACACGAAGTGGTATAAGGTGATAAAAAGTTGAAGATGTGTTCTGGAAATTCTAAAGTAACTACCAAAAGCTAGAACAAAACAAAAAATAAAACAGTTATAATTCATAAGACAAAAAAAGAAAAAATGGAATTTAAAAAAATCCCAAAGAAGGCAGGAAAAAAGGAACAAAGAAGAGATGAGGCCAATAGAAAAGAAACAGCAAGATGATTGTCAATGATCACACTAAGTGAAAATGGTCTAAATACCCCCAATTTAAAGGCAGAGGTGTTGTAGGCTATCTACAAGAAACTTTATCTTTTTTTAAAGTTTATTTAAGTAATCTCTGCACCCAATGTGGGGCTTGAACCCATGACCCTATGATCATGAATTGAATGCTCCTCTGACTGAGCCAGTGAGGTGCCCCAGAAACATACTTTTTATTTTTTTATTTTTATTTTTTTTAAGATTTTATTTATTTATTTGACAGAGAGATCACAAGTAGGCAGAGAGTCAGGCAAAGAGAGAGGAGGAAGCAGGCTCCCTACTGAGCAGAGAGCCCAATGTGGGGCTCAATCCCAGGACGCTGAGATCATGACCTGAGCCGAAGGCAGAGGCTTTAACCCACTGAGCCACCCAGGTGCCCTGAAACATACTTTTTAAATACAAAATGAAGATAGGTTAAAATGAATGGAAAAAGATACTTAAGGCTATGACTAATTAAAAAAAAAAAAAAACCCAACTTTTGGAGTGACTCCATTATTAGATAAACTGAACTTCATAGCAAAGAATACAACTAGATATAAAGAGGGTCATTTCATTATGGGAAGATGGTCAACTAATCTGGACCGTAGATTCTAGAGAAATCCACAGTTATAATCAGATTTCAATCTCTCTATCAATACACAGAAAATAGGTCATAATTTCAAAGACTAGAAGAGCAAAATTGCATAACTGACAATTATAGGACACTCCACCCAATAACAGTAGCATTCTTCTGGCTTTGAATGTGTTCTACAGGATACGTTCTTTTCAAGAGAACATGGAATATTTTTTGACAAGATATACTATTCTGGGCATTAAAACAAATATCAAAAGAAAAATAATTTGTTATAAAAAATTATACTCTCTGACTACAGTGGAGTTAAGTTAGAAGCCAATAAACCAAACAAGAAATATGGGAAGAATCCCAAATGCTTGGAAACTAAGCAATACATTTCTAAGTAGCCTATGGGTCACAAAGAAACCAAAAGGGAAGTTAGAAGGTATTTTGAACTGAATGAAAATAAAACCCCACATATCAAAATTTGTGGGTGCAGCTAAAGCAGTGCATAGAGGGAAATTTATAGTCTTCATGCCTCTATTAAAAGAGTTTCAGGGCGCCTGGGTGGCTCAGTGGGTTAAGCCTCTGCCTTCAGCTCAGGTCATGATCTCAGGGTCCTGGGATCGAGGCCCGCATCGGGCTCTCTGCTCAGCAGGGAGCCTGCTTCCTCCTCTCTCTCTGCCTGCCTCTCTGCCTACTTGTGATCTCTGTCAAATAAATAAATAAATAAAATCTTTAAAAAAAAAAAAAAGAGTTTCAAATCAAATCAAGGACCTAAACTTTCAACTTAAAAAAAAAAATTAGAAAACATAAGAAGGAGGAAGGAAGGAAATTATAATGATAAGAGCAGAAATAAGTGAGGTAGAAAACAACACACACACACACATAGACACACAACACACATGCACACTTGCACAAAATACAAGCAAAACTGGGGAGATCTGAATACAATTGATAGATTGTATCAGCATACTATCCTGGTTGTGCTCTTACAGTTTTGCAGAATGTTACCATTGGGGAAAGTAGGCAAAGGGCACAGTGGATCTCTCTGTATTTCTTACAACTGTAAGTGAATCTGCAGTGATCTCAGTAAAACTTTTAACTGAAAATTTAAAAATAATTAGGAAATGTTATGAGTGATTTTCTGTCAGTGTGTTTGAAATTTAAATTAAATGAACCAATTCCTTGAAGGATTCAAGCTATCCATGCTCACTTAACAAGAAATGGATCATAGAATAGACCCCTATCTGTTAAAGGAATTGAATTCATAGTTAAAAACCTTTTCACCATGAGGACTCCAGGCCCATGTAGCTTCGCTGGTGAGTTCAGCTGAACATTTAAGGAAGAAATAATACTGATCTACACAGTCTTCGAGAAAATAAAAGAGGAGAGGACACTTTCCTATTCACTTATGTGAGACCATCATTACTCTGATACCCGAAGCTGACAAAGACTTTATAATAAAGGAAAACCACAAACCTCATGAACACAGGTATAAAAATTCTTTTTTTTTTTTTTTTTTTTTTTTTTAGGTATAAAAATTCTTGATAAAAATTTTAGCAAATTTAACAAAATTATATAAAGAGAAATACATGACCATGTATTTCTTCCAGGAAGGTCTCTTTGGTTCAACGTTAGGAAATCAATGTAATTTACCATATTAACAGACTAGAAAAGAAAAAAAAAAAACTTAAATTATCTTCAGAAGAAAAACAGAAAAATGGCATCCTGCAACTGCTGAATCTGTATTTTTAAAAACGTTTACATGGAGGGGGACGCCTGGGTGGCTCAGTAGGTTGGGCGTCCGACTCTTGATTTTGGTTCACGTCATAATCTCGTGGGAGGGGATGGTGCAGTGGTGGTCATGGGATCAAGCCCCAGGTCAGGCTCCCTCAGTGGGGAGTCTGCTTCTCTCCCTCTCTCCCTTCCCCCACTCACACTCACTCGTGTTCTCTCTCAGATAAATAAAATCTTTAAAAAAAAAGTTTCCGTGGAGGGAGCATTTATAAAACTTGACAGCATGAGGGTCCATAAAGTAAGACTCCACCAATTTCAGAAGATTTAAAATCACATACAGTTGTTTTTCAACGTAGAAGGTTAGAAGTTAGGAAGCTTATTAGGAGTTAGAAAGCAATAATTTAAAAATATAACCAGAAAATTACTGGAAACTTAGAAATAAATTTTTGTTTTTATTTATTCAGTAGGCTCCATGCCCAGCATGAAGGGCTGTGGGGCTTGAGTGAATGTGGGGCTTGAACTCACAACCCCGAGATCAAGACCTGAGCTGAGACCAGGAGTTGGGGCCATCCAGGTGCCCCTAGAAATAAATTTTTGAATAGCATAGGTTAAAGAAGAACTCATTATGGAAATGATGAAATATTTTCAACTACATAATAATAAAGATATAATGTATCAAAACTTGTAGAGTGCAGTTAAGCTGTGGGTAAAGGAAAATGTATAGCCTTAAATGCATCTATTAAAAAGCAGGGCTAATCATCTCAAGGAATGACCAAAGGAACAGTAAACTAACCCAAATAATGAAGAAGAAAGGAACAGTAGTAGCAGATTATTGAAATAGAAACAATGAAATGGAGAGGATTAAGAAAGTCACAATAGTTTTTAAAAAACTAATAAATCTGATAAATCATTGGCAAAAAAAGGGTACAAATAGCCATTTATAAAAAGAGACCCTACTTATTCTATAAACATTGAAAGGATCTTAGGATATATGAAAACCTAACTATAAGTATGAAAATTTAGATGAATGAATTTTTAAAAAATACAATCTATCAAAACTGACATCCTACAAAATGGAAAATTTGATTAGTATCGATAACTAATAAATTTCTTCTAGAGAAAATTCAGGCTTCAGTGAAGAATTTTACCCAATGTTTAAGGAGGAAATAAAGCCAATATTAAATTTCTTTTTTAGAGAATAAAGGAGAGGAATAATTTTCACCTGTTTTACGAGACTAGGATAACTCTGATTTTACAATCTGACAACATAATGCAGGATAACTGTAGACTAATTTTCTTCATACACAGAGATGTAAAAATCCTACACAAAACATTAGCACGCTGACCACAGAGCAAGAGGAGAAGGCTGATACGTGATCACTAAATTGGGTTTATTCCAAGGGTACAGGGGTGTTTCAGTCCATGTAGTTAACCATATCAATAACATAAAGGAAAAGTCAGGATTATTTCAATAGATGCAGTGAAAGCATTTAATATTTACTGTACATTCACGATTTAAAGAAAAACTCCAAGCAAACTGGGAATCGAGGGGAATTTTGGTCAAATGAAAAAAAAATCTATAAAAATCTCTACAGCGAACATCACATTTAATGATAAAATATTGGAAATTTTCCCTCTGGGTCTGGAAACCAGGCAAAGATGCCGAGCTGTCACTATTTAACACCGTATTAGAGGTTCTGGTTAGTGAATTTGACAAAAAGAAGATAGGAATTGAAAGGAAAAAAAATTAATCAGGCAATATAATTATATAAGCAGAGAAGCGGAAACAAGTTACAGAGAGATTATTAGACTTAAGTAAGTCTTCTGGCTTCCAGAAGTATACAAACATCAATTGTTTTTCCGCAAACAAGAAACAAACTGAACATTTAAAAACATACAATAGCATAAAAATATTAAGTGCCTAGGCTTATACCTGATTAAGGATGTGTAAGATCTCACCAGAAAATTATACAGCATGACTGGGAATTATTAAGCTACCTGAATAGGGGTGCCTGGGTGGCTCAGTTGTTAAGTATCTGCCTTTGGCTGAGGTCACGATCCCAAGGTCCTGGGATCGAGCCCTGAGTAGGGCTCCCTGCTTTGTGGGGAGCCTGCTTCTCCCCTTCCCACTCCCCCTGCTTGTGTTCCCTCCCTCTATGTCTCCACCCCCCACCCTGATCAAATAAATAAATAAAATCCTAAAAAAGGATTTTACCTGAATAAACAGGAGGTTTTATTTTATATTTTTATAACAATTTTTTAAAAAAGATTTTATTTTTTTACTTGACAGAGAAAGAGGGAGAGAGTACAGGTGGGGGGGAGCAGCAGGTAGAGGGAGAGGGAGAAGCAGGCTCCCCCCTGAACAAGGAGCCCGATGCGGGGCTTGATCTCAGGACCCTGGGCCCATTACCTGAGCTGAAGGCAGATGCTTAAGTGACTGAGCCACAGGTGCCCTATTAAAAAAATTTTTTTTAAGTAACCTCAATACCCAATGTGGGGCTTGAACTCACAACCCTGAGGTCAAGAGTTGCATATTCTACTGACTGAGCCAGCCAGGGGCCCCACAGAAGATATTATTTTATTTTTAAACATTTTATTTATTTATTTGACAGAGAGATCACAAATAGGCAGAGAGGCAGGGGGAAGCAGGCTCCCTGCTGAGCAGAGAGCCCAATGTGGGGCTCAATCCCAGGACCCTGAGATCACGACCTGAGCCGAAGGCAGAGGCTTAACCCACTGAGCCACCCAGTCACCCCTAAGGTATTATTTTAAATTACCTGAATAAACGGAGGATGTACTGTGGGTGTGGATTAGAAGCTCCATTTTGTAAAGATCTTGGTTCTTGTCCAATTGATCTATTGATTCTGTGTATTGCCCATAAGAGTCCAGTAGGTTTTAGAGTAATTCTAAAATTTATATGGAAATGCAAAGGGTCAAAGTAGCTGAATATCAAAGAACAACAAATAGGAAACTTGCTTGACCAGATAGCAAGTCTTAGGCAACAAGAAAGTCGTTGTGATATTGTACAGGATAGAAGCGTATACCAATGGAGCAGAATGGAGTCCTAGGAGACACATGCCTGTATAGAGGCTTGAGTTTCGACAAGGATTTTATCCTATTTTTTTTGCTAAAAGTTTTATGGTTGTACCTTTAACAACTTGTGATCCATTTTGAAATAATTCTTGCATATACTGCCAGATGGAGAATAAAGTTCACTGTTTTGCATATGGAGGCCATTATTGGGGGAAAAAAAAGAGATCCTTTTCCTGTTGACTGATTAGATATCTTTGTTGAAAATCAGTTGACCATATGTGTGTGTGTGTGGTATTATAACTGGAGTTTTTTTAATCAGTAAATTGTTTAAATTAACATATAATGTATTATTTGCCCCAGGAGTACAGGTCTGTGAATCATCAGTCTTACACAATTCACAGCACTCACCAGAGCACATACCCTCCCCAGGGTCCATCACCCAGCCACCCATCCCTCCCCCCAACCCCCCAGCAACCCTCAGTTTGTTCCTGAGATTAAAAGTCTCTTAGGTTTTTCTCCCTCCCTATCCCATCTTGTTTCATTTTTTCCTTCCCTACCCTACCCCCCACAACCTCCCGCCCTGCTCTCAAATTCCTCATATCAGGGAGATTCATATGACAATTGTCTTTCTCTGATTAACTTATTTTGCTCAGCATAATGCCCTCTAGTTCCATCCATGTCATATAACTGGATTCTTGATTCTCTTTCATTGGTCTGTGTTTTTCTTTAAATCAGTTCTGCACTCTTGTCTACTATAGCTTTATAATTGTAAAATCTGGGAGAGCTAGCCCTCTCCTTCTGTTCTTTTTCACAGTTGTCTCCTTTGCATGTCCAATACATTTTGGAATCCTCTTGTCAGTCTCTACAAAGACCTTGCTGAAATATTGCTCAGATAGAATTGAATCCAGAGGCCAATTTGGGGAGAACTGACATCCTTACCCACGTTGAGTTTCCCGATCATGAACACGGTTTGTCCCTCCATTTACTCTGCTCTTTCATTTCTCTCGAAAATGTTCTATAGTTTCTGGGGTACGGAAAACTTGTGCATCTTGTGTCAGCTTTTTCCTAAGTATTTGGTGTTTTTGAGGTGGTCATTAATGGTATTTTTATTTATTTTTATTTTTTTTAAAGATTTTATTTATTTATTTGACAGAGAGAGATCACAAGTAGATGGAGAGGCAGGCGGCGGGGGGTGGTGGGGAAGCAGGCTCCCCGCTGAGCAGAGAGCCCGATGCAGGGCTCGATCCCAGGACCCTGAGACCATGACCCAAGCCGAAGGCAGCGGGTTAACCCACTGAGCCACCCAGGCGCCCCATTAATGGTATTTTTAAAATTTCACTTTCTGACTGCTTCTTGCCAGTGTATAGAAATGCAGTTGATTTTTACATAGTAACCTTGAATCCTTCCACCTTCTCCACCTAGATGCCTCCTACCTTGTGAAGATTTCCCCAGCTTCCTCGTCTTCTCCCTGCCCTTCCTCTCCAGTATCATGTGCAGGGCTTTATCTGCAAACCTAGCCCGTTGGATTGGGGCTATTTGTTTCTAGGTCTACCTCCCCCACTAGACTGGGAACTCCTTGAAGCTGGGAGATGCCAGCCCTCTTTGGTTCAGCTTCTGTCCATTAAGGTCCAGCTCAAGTTCTGGCACACAGTAGGCACTGAGTGTCTGAGGGAAGAATGAATAGATGGACGGATGGATGGATGGATGGATGGATGGATGGATGGATGGATGGACGGACGGTTGGATGGATGGATGGATGGATGGATGGTTGGTTGGATGGATGGATGGACGGACGGATGGTTGGACTGTTGGATGGATGGATGGATGGTTGGATGGACGGTTGGATGGATGGACGGATGGACGGTTGGATGGATGGATGGATGGTTGGATGGATGGATGGATGGGGGAGGGAGAGAGAGAGTGAGAGATAGGGAGGAAAGGATGAACAGACAGATGGATAGATAGGTATTGTTCTTGTATCTGCCGAAACTAAACCAGCCTCTTTTTGTTTCTGAATCTGCTACAGCTTTCTGAATGCTACAGTGGTCTACATGCTGCCCAATGTCACCAGTAGACCAGTCTTCATAACTAACATTGCCCACATACTATGTGCCACATGTTCTGCAGGCTCCTTGTAGGCCTCCTCTCATAGAACCTGCCACATACCTCCTCTCCCTCCTCTCTCCCTCTTGTTCAGAAGTTCTAGCCACTCTTACCTCTCTGTTGTTTCTCAAGTCCATTAAACATGCTGTCTCTCCTCACCTTCGCACTTGTGTTCTCCCCTACCCAGAACCCTCTTTCCTCAGACGGCTGCCTGGCTTGCTCCGTCACCTCCTTTAAGCCTCTGCTCAAAGCCTTCCCTGACCACCCTGTCTCAGACAGCCCCCCGCCACCCCAACACTCTCCATTGCTCTTACCTGGCTTTCTCCATTCAACATAGCAGGTTCATTCTCCAAGCTCTTTACCGGTTCCTTCCCATCCTCATTTGACCTTCTGCACCATACTCTAAGGAAGCACCATGAGTGGTTAACAATAATGATGTCACATTTATTGAGCAGTTACTATGTGCCAAGCAGATTGCCAAATGCTTTCCATGGAGTAACTGACTTCACCTAACTGAACCCCCCATGAGGCAGGTGCCGGTTTCTGAGACAGCTCGTCGCTTGCCCACCTACTTAATCCTCGGCATCCCTTCCATGTGGTCCTGTCTCTGTGCACAAGGCTCACTCTGGTGGGGATGGGGGCTGTGTGCGAATCTGCCTGATTTCCTGGGCTTTCCTTCTGTTTAGTTTCGTGGACCACGGTGACAAACTTCTGCACATCAAGATAGAAGATTCCCCAGAAGCCAACATTGCCCCCTTTTTACGGCACCTCTGCCATTTCCTTGGTAAGGAATGATCTCTGACCAGGCAGTGGCTGGCCTGTGCCGAGGGACCAGAGGGGGCTGTGGCATCTTGTCCACAGGCCTGTTCCTGAGGGTGACAGCCAGCACTGAGGAGAGGAAGGGCAGGACCCAGCACCAGTCCAGCCAGGGCGGCCAGGCCCCAGGACAAGCTCGGCCCTCGGGAGCCTTCGGCAGTGTGGACAGCCACACATTTACCTCGGGGGACGTGGGGCTGAATAAGAGCTCCACATTGCCCATTGAGTGCCCCGTGTTGTGGCCCTGGCTAGACTGCTAGGCCCTCTAGGGTCTGGCCAGGCCCCAGTCCTGGCCTCGCCGAGCCTCTTGGGCAGTGAGCACCTGTTGGTCCACTGTGGGTGCAGGCGTTCAGGGAGGCCTGCTCGGGGCTGGGCTCCATCCCTGCCCTCCTGTCTGGTCTGCGGGTGGGGGGAGGGTGGAAGGAAAACTCTGGAACCCTCCCAGCTCTGATTTCCGCAATCCCCCCTGTGTGTGCACAGTGCCCCTTTAGCTCTCCCACCACACCTGGCCATGACCGCTCATGGAAGGTGGAACTGTCAGTCATTCAGGCCTCAGGATTGCCCCAGAGCACAGTGGCTGGAGAGAGGGAGGTCGAGTCGGGTCCAGGGCCCCGGCCCGGGACTATCTGCTGTACCCCAGTCAGCCCCGGCTCGCCTGGCCGCCTCGGGGGGCTGGAAGAGGATGTCCCTTATCTGCCCAGGAGGTTCAGCTATCACTTGACTAGTATCTGAGGTTGCGACTTGGCCACGTGTCCCGCCGCAGGGTGGCAGAGCCCTGTGGCAGAGAGGGTCCAACTCCAGCCCTGCCTTGCTGGGTGGCTCTGGGCCAGCCCTTAACTGTTCTGTGCCTCTGTTTCCTTGTCCATATGATGAGGCACTTGGCTCATCAGCTCGTGGTCCTCCTCCAGTGCTGATGGTCTGTGATTATCTCTGGTTCTTGGGGGTGACTGGACTAGCCTAGGAAGCCAGCTTGGCCTTCCTCCGCACCGCAACCCCCCCCAACCCGCCCCTGGACAAGACAGCCTCAGGGGCTTCATTAAGTGTGATTATAGCTGACCTCCCTGGGCCAGGTGCTGGGCTGGGCACAGCACAGAGTCTCGTAGGTAGTCTACTGACCCCCCGGTTTCTAGATGACAGAACAGTGGCTTGGAGTACCATGCTCAGGCCCCACACCCTGTGAGTGGCAGGGTCAGGATTCACACCTAGGCCAGGCCACGTCGCCTCTGTCGGTACCCGAGTGCTGGGGTTGGGGGTGTGTGTGGAGGGACCATCCCTTCGTCCATCCCAGCCCAAGAGGCCAGCTGGTAGTGGAGCTTCCTGGGCTGGAAGCCTGGAGAGCCAAGAAAAGACCTTTGCATGATCATGCTGAACACCCAGTGTGGTTCTCTTGAACTGCCAGTGAGGTCTGAGGGTCCCTGTTTGCCAGGTGACAAAAGTGTGTCCCAGAGAGGTGACATGGCCAGCTTGGGCCATACTGTGCTGGGTCTGAACTCACTTCTGGACCTCGGGCTCACTGAAGTCAGCAACTCACATTCAAGTCCCCCACTGTCCTCCCACCCCTTTCTTTCCTCTTGCAGAAATTCACCTCCAGCTTGGCTCGGTCATCCTGGTCTTTTCCACCCTGGGCATCAACCGCAGCTGTGTGGCCGTCTTGGCCTTCCTCATGCACTGGAACGAGCAGACCTTGAAGGTATGCATTGCCTGGTCAAGGCTCAGACTGCAGCTCCCTCCAGCAGACAGGGTCAGAGCTGGACCTGGGAGGAAGGTGGCCCTAACTGGAGGGTGGGAGGAGAAGGATCTGGAAAGGGAACTGCAAGTCCAGTGCTTTACCCAGCATAGCACACCCAAGGTCAAGGTCCCCAAGGTCTGGGCCAGAGGCTGAGGCTATTGCATTAGGGCCTGGGGCTTGGCGTAGGGGACAGGCCCGGGGACTCAGGCTGGGCAAGGCCACGGCCAGCAGCACCATCTGCGTGTTCCCCACTGCTGTCTGTCTGTCTCCCAGGGTCCATTCAGCCTTCTCCAAGGAAGGTGCATTTTGGCTATTGGTTGGAGCTGGAGAACTATGACCCTGGCAGGGCTCCAAGGGCACCTGCTCCAACGGTCTTGATCTGGACTGGAGAAGGAGGGTAGAGACCTGTTACCACAAACCCCATGGAACCAGAGCTCCTGACGCCGAGGGCAGTGCCTTTCCACGGCACGAGGAGATGGTGGCTGGCCCTAAGGGAGACATAGCTTGTGCCAGACTTCAGAGGGCTTCGGTGGGGCCCCCAAACTCCCCTGTATGCCTGGGGCTATGCTGGAAGGAAGGGGAGGGTCAAAGAATGACCATGGTCAAGCCCATTGCCAATGGTTTTGGATATTGGCCCCCTGTGCTCTTTGGGGAAATTGGTGGCTAGTGGGTTCCAGAGCTGGCTGGGGCGAGAACAGAGAGAGAGGACTCCCACCTGCTCTGAGTTCTCCAGCAGCGACGGCCAGGCCCCCCTGGTGACAGGGCACATGTTGGCCCGCACCCTGACCTTTACTGGCCCCCACATGACTCCAGGAGGGAGGTTGAGGCCCGTCCAGGTGTGGCTGTCCGGCTCAGTGGTCAGTGGGAGGACAGGTGCCTGGGCCCCTGAGGGCCAAATTGTCCTTGCTCTTGGGAGCAAGGGGCTCCCATCCTGGGGCAGCAAACTCTGCCTCACGTACAGGAAAGTCCTGTTGCTGGGCGTTCTGCCCTGAGTCGCCATCTAGAGAACTCGTGACAGAAGGATCTGTGGGCAGGAAGGACTGCCGCGGGGACCTTCCTGGGTCCTTTCCAGACTGAGTCAGTCCTGGGTGGCGGTTAGGTTTTCTTGCTACCAAGCAATGCCCTGGATTGCTGACAGAGGTTGACCGGGGCTCAAATCTGCTGCTACCCGGGGTCCAGAGAGACGGTCCCCCCTCCTGTTGTCTTTGTGGTTTTGGGGGCAACTGTGCCCCTGGCTGTTGTTAGCTCAGCAGTGATGGTCAGAGCCCAGGGGACTGGCAAAAAAAAAAAAGCCGGGGGGAGTGTGAGCCACTCTTGGGCAATATACTGCTTCCTGGGGCTTATGGTCCCTACTCTATTCCTTGGGGTACCAAGACCAGGAATGGGAAGTTGAGGGGTGAACTGAGAGGAATCTGGCACCCGGGGCCACCATGCCTGTCCTTGGCTTTCAAAGCTTTGGCATAAGGGTGAATGGGCTCCCAGAGCCAGCGAGCCCTTGAGAAACCTTTTTCAGCTCCTTTAACCTACTGGGAGTAACTTTGTTCCTTAAAGATCTTCAGAAGGGGAAAAAAAAAAAGAACAAAAACACAAACCAACTGCTGAGGCATTACACTAGCTACCATTGGCAGAGGGCTTCCCACGTGCATTTGCGAGGACTTCATGTGTGTTGAAAACCCAGTGACCCCACAGCATGTTATTAACAGTTTGGCAGGAGGTCTAGAGAGGCTGAATAATTTGCCCAAGGCCCCACAGTTGTGAGTAGCAGAGTTGGAATCCAAAGCCACATGACCCAGTTAGTTTCAGAATCTGGGCTTTCCACGGAGCCCTAAGGCAGCAGGGGGAGCACTGGCCTGTCGTCTGAAAAATCGGGCAGTGAGCTGGCTGCTGCCCGTTTCTGAGAGTTACCTGCTCATGACGCCTCCCCCCCCCCCCCCCCCCCCCCCCCCCCCCCCCCCCCCC